CGTCAAGAATCTTGCAACAGGTGCTAGTTGTATTGGAGTTCTTCAAGAAGATTACAACAGGTGCTACTGTACTGGAGTTCTTAAGAAGTTTACAGCAGGTTTAGTTGTTTTAGAGTTATTCAAGAAGCCTACAACAGGTTTTAGTTGTTTTGGAGTTCTTTAAGAAGCTTACAAGAGATGCTAGTTGTACTGGAGTTCTTAAGAAGATTGCAACAGGTTTTAATTGTTTTAGAGTTATTCAAGAAGCTTACAATCGGTTTTAGTTGTTTTGGACTTCTTCAAGAAGCTTACAACAGATGCCAGTTGTACTAGAGTTCTTAAGAAGTTTACAACAGGTTTTAGTTCTTTTAGAGTTCTTCATAAAGCTTGCAACAGGTATTTTAGTTGTTTTGGAGGTCTTCAAGAAGCTTACAACCGGTATTTTAGTTGTTTTGGAGGTCTTCAAGAAGCTTACAACAGGTATTTTAGTTGTTTTGGAGGTCTTCAAGAAGCTTACAACAGGTATTTTAGTTGTTTTGGAGGTCTTCAAGAAGCTTATAACAGGTATTTGTGGTTTGGGGCTTTTCAAGATTCTTAAGACAATTGCTCTTCGTTTTTTCAAAAAAGCTGGCAGCAGGTTCTGTTGGTTTTCGAATATTTGAGAGAGTTAGAAAGAGGTGCTGTTGAATTTGGGATTGCTCAAAAAGCTTACAAGATGTGTTTGTTGTTTGTTTGGGGGGGGGTAATGAAGCTAACTAGAAGTGCTAGTAGTGTTTTGTGTAGCTGTATTCTTAATAAACATGGACTTTAGAAAAAGGGGATATGTCGGTCGATTTGTAGCTTTGGGGTAAAGATGTGTTATTATATATATGATTGAATTGTGGGTGTTGCATCGCCAGCTGAGGATTTGTGTTAGCTCACATGAAAAGCATCAGACTTCATTGGGGGCCCCGAGTGGCCGAGTGGTCTAAAGCGCTGTCTGTTACGGATCACTGCCATCTCACCTCTATCTGCGTGGGTTTGAGTCTAAGATTCGGCGAATGTGGATATGTGAGAGAGCTTGCCAGTAGCTTCTCATGGGTCGGTGGTTCTTTCCGGTGATTTCCCGGTTTCTTCCTCCACCATTAATACTGGCCGCCATGTATAGCCTTTCCTGTGCTGAAAAATGGCGTTAAACCCCACAACAACAACAGACTTCATTGTGGGGTTGCAAGCTCTATACATATCCAAGCCAGCCTTAGTGTCCTTTGCTTAATTGCTGTCTATACATATCCAAGCCAGCCTTAGTGTCCTTTGCTATAATGCTGTCCATACATATCCAAGCCAGCCTTAGTGTCCTTTGCTATAATGCTGTCCATACATATCCATGCCAGCCTTAGTGTCCTTTGCTATAATGCTGTCCATACATATCCAAGCCAGCCTTAGTGTCCTTTGCTAAATTGCTGTCTATACATATCCAAGCCAGCCTTAGTGTCCTTTGCTATAATGCTGTCTATACATATCCAAGCTTAGCGTCCTTTGCTATAATACTGTCCATACATATCCATGCCAGCCTTAGTGTCCTTTGCTATAATGCTGTCCATACATATCCAAGCCAGCCTTAGTGTCCTTTGCTATAATGCTATCCATATATATCCAAGCCAGCCTTAGTGTCCTTTGCTATAATGCTGTCCATACATATCCATGTCAGCCTTAGTGTCCTTTGCTATAATGCTGTCCATACATATCCAAGCCAGCCTTAGTGTCCTTTGCTATAATGCTGTCCATACATATCCAAGCCAGCCTTAGTGTCCTTTGCTAAATTGCTGTCTATACATATCCAAGCCAGCCTTAGTGTCCTTTGCTATAATGCTGTCCATACATATCCAAGCCAGCCTTAGTGTCCTTTGCTATAATGCTATCCATATATATCCAAGCCAGCCTTAGTGTCCTTTGCTATAATGCTGTCTATACATATCCATGCCAGCCTTAGTGTCCTTTGCTATAATGCTGTCCATACATATCCAAGCCAGCCTTGGTGTCCTTTGCTATAATGCTGTCCATACATATCCAAGCCAGCCTTAGTGTCCTTTGCTATAATGCTGTCCATACATATCCATGCCAGCCTTAGTGTCCTTTGCTATAATGCTGTACATACATATCAAAGCCAGCCTTAGTGTCCTTTGCTATAATGCTGTCCATACATATCCAAGCCAGCCTTAGTGTCCTTTGCTATAATGCTGTCTATACATATCCATGCCAGCCTTAGTGTCCTTTGCTATAATGCTGTCCATACATATCCAAGCCAGCCTTGGTGTCCTTTGCTATAATGCTGTCCATACATATCCAAGCCAGCCTTAGTGTCCTTTTCTATAGTGCTGTCCATACATATCCATGCCAGCCTTGGTGTCCTTTGCTATAATGCTGTACATACATATCAAAGCCAGCCTTAGTGTCCTTTGCTATAATGCTGTCCATACATATCCAAGTCAGCCTTAGTGTCCTTTGCTATAATGATGTCTATACATATCCATGCCAGCCTTAGTGTCCTTTGCTATAATGCTGTTCATACATATCCAAGCCAGCCTTGGTGTCCTTTGCTATAATGCTGTCCATACATATCCAAGCCAGCCTTAGTGTCCTTTGCTATAATGCTGTCCATACATATCCATGCCAGCCTTGGTGTCCTTTGCTATAATGCTGTCCATACATATCAAAGCCAGCCTTAGTGTCCTTTGCTATAATGCTGTCCATACATATCCAAGCCAGCCTTAGTGTCCTTTGCTATAATGCTGTCTTTACATATCCAAGCCAGCCTTAGTGTCCTTTGCTATAATGCTGTCTATACATATCCATGCCAGCCTTAGTGTCCTTTGCTATAATGCTGTCCATACATATCCAAGCCAGCCTTGGTGTCCTTTGCTAAATTGCTGTCTATACATATCCAAGCCAGCCTTAGTGTCCTTTGCTATAATGCTGTCCATACATATCCAAGCCAGCCTTAGTGTCCTTTGCTATAATGCTGTCCATCTGATCCATAAACCTGTTGTGTGTTGCAGGTGATACAGTGGTCCCAATTTTATATGGCCACACCTGCACTGAGATAGTTGCCATAAATACAGATGGACTTTGCAAAGGGCAACTAATTCCATGAAAAGTATGTGTATGTAGTAAGAAAGCTATATATAACTTAAGAGATTTAATATCTTCATTTATAAATATGATGCTGATTGTCTATAGCTGCCATTATTAACAATAGAAAAACAATTTAGCTTCTACAGAATGTAGTAAAATTTGACTGATCATTTTGGCATTTGCATTAAAGACGTTAATTCAAGTATTGTGGATTAGATTAAGTCACCAATCCTAAAAAAATTAAATGATGTCTCAAACCTGTATGACAGAATGACATCAGTTTAGATCTGAGGTATTTGCATTAAAGAACCCCAACTGGCAAATATGTGTCCACAGCAACTGACCCAGATTATTTGGCAAACTGCTATTATGCTGATTCACCTAGATGAAAGTTCTTTCCCTTTTGAGCCTTATACTGAGTCTAGATTAAATTATCATAATAGAAAATACCAAAGAGTTTCAGAAGTGTGAAGTACTTTGCGCCCAATGTTCTTCTTTAAATTTTTGGTAGTTTTGAATTTCCTAGGTCACAGTCACGCTTGCCCATGCCTCGCAGTCCTCTGCTTAGTATTACGGTCCTTACACAGTTACAAAGAAAGTGACTTAAATTGCTCCTTGAAGGCAAAAAAAGAAAAAGAACTTTTTTTTGCCACTTAAATAGGTTAAAGGAATATGTTAAATATCACTGTCAATGATTCAGACAGTTTAGTTGTACCTGTCATAGGCTGTGAGGATTTTAATGATGGATGCAATTGGACTGTATGTAGGTCTAAACGATACAATTAAATCTGAATTGTTTTAGCCAATCACTAAATTTGAAGATCAAACTCAGCAAAGCTTGATATTGTGAAATGTTTTTATTTGATATTACTGAGCATTCTTATTGCACTCTAAAAAATTTGACAGTTTGAGATTTCTCTTTGAAAACATTAAACTTTCCGAATCTTACAAATCTCACAATTTAGAAATTTGAATACGTTTAATTACTCTGTAAATGGGCAAAGATCTGTCGATATAAGAAGAACACATTAAGTCGGACAGGTGAGCGATTATTTCGACTTATGGCGTGTGTTTAAATCACCGTAACGCACAAATAGGCAAATGTCACTGTCATGGAAGTATTGGTTCTTGATTAAACATTCGTTTATTTAGCTCAGAAAGATAGGGGTCAACTTCTGATCTGTATGGAGAACTGTCAATTCTGAAAGTTACCAGGGATGTGTCTTGGGTGATCTGAGGTTGTCATATGAACTGCATTGTTTTGAGCCTAGTTCAGGTAGGGAATATATTTAATTATGATTGGTTATGTTAAATAAGGGGCATGGTTCCACCTGATTATGATTACAATGGTGTGACAATTCGTTGATTTATTTGCTTATATTTGCATGAATTCATTTGGTTAGATTCGTAAATCAATTATTTTGATATGAATACAACTGTACAAGTTCATCTATATAAATCCATACAATGATAGTCTTTATATAAGTTGAATCGTTTGAATGTATAGTCTCGATTATTTCAGGTAAATAATATCTACCATTTCATATATAGCATCAAACGTCTTATGCAGTTTTACTTCAATAACAAATACCATTATAATTCCTGTGTATGCTAATACTGTGGAGGATGTTATTAAGTGGGTATGTTAATAGTGTGTGTGTGTGTGTATTATGTGATTTAGATTTATAACGTAGCTTTAACAATTTTTCAGTCATATTGCTACGATGTCTGCGGTGTGACAGTTTATAGTGATGTCTAGCACTGGGGCATCATGCCGCAGACATGTAGTATGGTGTCCCACTCAGTCACATTATCTTGACACCAGGCCGACCAGTCCTAACACTAACCTCTTAATGCTGAGAGCCAAGCGCGACAACTGTTAGTACCATTTTTGTAAGTCATTGTTATGACTCGGCTGGGGATCGAACCCACGACCTCCTGCATTCGAAGTGGACGCTCTCACCACTACGTCACCTGAGCGGTCTAATACTATGAAGGATGTGTATTAAGCAGGTATGCTAATACTGTGAAGGATGTGTATTAAGCAGGTATGGTAATACTGTGGAGGATGTGTATTAAGCAGGTATGGTAATACTGTGAAGGATGTGTATTAAGCAGGTATGCTAATACTGTGAAGGATGTGTATTAAGTGAGTATGCTAATACTGTGAAGGATGTGTATTAAGCAGGTATGCTAATACTGTGAAGGATGTGTATTAAGCGAGTATGCTAATACTGTGAAGGATGTGTATTAAGCAGGTATGCTAATACTGTGAAGGATGTGTATTAAGCAGGTATGCTAATAGTGTGGAGGATGTGTATTAATCGGGCATGCTAATACTGTGGAGGATGTATATTAAGCAGGTATGTTAATACTGTGGAGGATGTGTATTAAGCGGGAATGCTAATACTGTGAAGGATGTGTATTAAGCAGGTATGGTAATACTGTGGAGGATGTGTATTAATCGGGTATGCTAATAGTGTGGAGGATGTGTATTAATCTGGCATGCATTAATCTGGCATGCTAATACTGTGGAGGATGTGTATTAAGCAGGTATGTTAATACTGTGGAGGATGTGTATTAATCGGGCATGCTAATACTGTGGAGGATGTATATTAAGCAGGTATGCTAACACTGTGGAGGATGTGTATTAAGCAGGTATGCTAATACTGTAAAGGATGTGTATTAAGCAGGTATGGTAATACTGTGGAGGATGTGTATTAATCGGGTATGCTAATACTGTGGAGGATGTGTATTAAGCAGGTATGCTAATACTGTGGAGGATGTGTATTAAGCGAGTATGCTAATACTGTGAAGGATGTGTATTAAGCAGGTATGCTAATACTGTGAAGGATGTGTATTAAGCAGGTATGCTAATAGTGTGGAGGATGTGTATTAATCGGGCATGCTAATACTGTGGAGGATGTATATTAAGCAGGTATGTTAATACTGTGGAGGATGTGTATTAAGCGGGAATGCTAATACTGTGAAGGATGTGTATTAAGCAGGTATGGTAATACTGTGGAGGATGTGTATTAATCGGGTATGCTAATAGTGTGGAGGATGTGTATTAATCTGGCATGCATTAATCTGGCATGCTAATACTGTGGAGGATGTGTATTAAGCAGGTATGTTAATACTGTGGAGGATGTGTATTAATCGGGCATGCTAATACTGTGGAGGATGTATATTAAGCAGGTATGCTAACACTGTGGAGGATGTGTATTAAGCAGGTATGCTAATACTGTAAAGGATGTGTATTAAGCAGGTATGGTAATACTGTGGAGGATGTGTATTAATCGGGTATGCTAATACTGTGGAGGATGTGTATTAAGCAGGTATGCTAATACTGTGGAGGATGTGTATTAATCGGGCATGCTAATAATGTGGAGGATGTGTATTAAGCAGGTATGCTAATACTGTGAAGGATGTGTATTAAGCAGGTATGCTAATACTGTGAAGGACATGTAATAAGTGGGCATGCCATTACTGTGAAGGATGTGTATTAAGCGGGTATGCTAATACTGTGGAGGATGTGCTATTATGCTAATACTATTGAGGACGTGTAATAAGCGGGCATGCTAATACTGTGAAGGACATGTAATAAGTGGGCATGCTAATACTGTGAAGGATGTGTATTAAGCGGGTATACTAATACTGTGGAGGACGTGTAATAAGCGGGTATACTAATACTGTGGAGGATGTGTAATAAGCGGGTATGCTAATACTGTGAAGGATGTGTATTTAGAGGGTATGCTAATATTGTGGAGGATGTGTATTAAGCAGACATGCTAATATTGTGGAGGATGGGTATTATGCGGGCATGCTAATATTATGGAGGATGGGTATCCCTTGGTGGATCCAGTGCGCTTGAAAGGGTTGTTATTCGCCATATGATTTGTATTCTTTATATATATATGGAAAAATCTACACAAGGACAATTCTCCTTTAAAACTACTCCAAACAATATCGAGAATGCACAAAAATTGCACAAAGCTTAAATTTTTGCATAAAAAAATTTCTTTCTTATGAATCATTTTTCTGCATAAGGAATAAAAGCCTTATTGACATTCCAGGAAAATATCTTTTTTTTCAAGTAAAACTGATGAAATACGAGAAAACAACTAAAACTATCATTTTTTAATATTCAGATTTAAAACGACTTTCATTTGTAAAAGAAATATATTAATAAGAACATTTTATCATCATTTTTAAATCAAGCATCAAAGAAACTTCAATTACAAGTTATAAAGTAAAAACAGTCATTTTACCTACTGGATGATCCCAGGCATGTTTTAGATTTATGGGTGATACATGATGAATTAATAACTATAACACAGGAGTAGGGACCAGTCTCTGTGCATGAAGACACTCATTGTTCCACCATGTTTCCTGTGGGTGATGACATTCAATATACTCACCTTATCCACCTTGTCTTGTACTACGTGTAATCCTAAGGAATTTAAACATTATTTTATAAACAAAAAACATGGAAGTAAAAGTCATCAATGCTTTTTTAACAAACAAAATCTCCATACATGAAAACAAACTTTCTTAAGGATTTCACAAATGTAAAATACTTGAGTTTAAAATGCTATACATGGATAAAATAATGAGAAAAACAACAAATGAAAACCTAGTATGGTGACAATAAAAATGTGTGGATGATTATAATTGGTACAGATAAAAATAATATTGGACTTCTAAATAGAAAGTGCTTGAAAAACCTAAAATTACAATAATAACTTGACAAAATATTTAAAAGAACAAAAAAACATCAATAATCTGAGAAAAGCCTATAATGGACGCTGAAGTTTTAATCGTAATTTACAGTAAATGCGAAACTCAAAGGTCAAGACCATTTGACCAAAATAAGGACACTGTCATATTTGATTACCACATGCAGCAATCGTTCACTTAAACACTGCAAGGTTGAGTTTATTTGGCCAAAGCAACAATGATCCTCCATTTAATTCCCCAGTTCAATGATCCATCACTATAGAACTGTCAACAGAGTCTATTTGACCAAAGTATTCAATTTCCCAGTTCAATGGTCCATTAAAATAGAACTGTCAACAGAGTCTATTTGACCAAAGTATTCAATTTCCCAGTTCAATGATCCATCACTATAGAACTGTCAACAGAGTCTATTTGACCAAAGTATTCAATTTCCCAGTTCAATGGTCCATCACTATAGAACTGTCAACAGAGTCTATTTGACCAAAGTATTCAATTTCCCAGTTCAATGATCCATCACTATAGAACTGTCAACAGAGTATTTGACCAAAGCAGAGATGCTCCTGTATTCAATTTCCCAGTTCAATGGACCTTCACTATAACACAGAGTTGGACTAAACTGGGATGCTCCCACATATGATTAATCATCAGTACAATGGTCCCTCTTTATAACACTGTAAGTTTATTTGACTACACTGGGATGCTCCCCTATATGAATACCCAGTACAATGGTCCTTCACTATAACACTGTAAGATAGTCTATTTGACTAAAACTGGGATGCCCCCCTATATGAATACCATGTACAATGGTCCCTCATTATTACACTGTAAGATGCAGTCTATCTAACTAAAACATGGATGTTCCACCCATTTAATTATGCAGTACAATGGTCCATCATTATTTAACTTAAAACATTATCTATTTTACCAAAGCAGACATGCTCCCCAATTTAATTACCCAATAAAATGGTCCTTCACTATAACACTGTAAGACCATGCCATTCTGACCAAAACTGGGATGCTCCATTATATGATTGCCCAGTGCAATGGTCTCTTTCTGCAACAATGTAGAATCTAGGAAACTGTAATGGGCAGGTGATAAGCATAACTGCCCAAAGTGCCATTCATGAAGTCTGCCATATTTTTTTCAAGTGTAAGTGTCAAAAGCATTGCTAGTTTGGAGGACCATTTCGGCCAGCATAAACATGTAATGGCTCTGGACAAAGTCTCTTTACCGAAAGAGATATGCTCCCCATTTTGATTACCAAGTACAGTTTTCCTTGCCTATTTGACTACCCAGTACAATGGTCCCTTACTATAATGCCAGTCTAGGGAGCAAGTCATGTGTATTGTGTTTAGAATATGTTGCCTTATACTGAGGATATATTACATGAAAATATACAATTCAGTGTAATTTGATCCATTACCATATAGTTCTTATACCAGGGATCATGTTATATCAGGGAAATTTATATTAGGAATCATGTTATATCAGGGACAGTTTTATATTAGAAATCATGTTATATCAGGGACAGTTTTATATTAGAGATCATGTTATATCAAGGTCAGTTTTATATTAGAGATCATGTTATATCAGGGACAGTTTTATATTGGAGATCATGTTATATCAGGGTCAGTTTTATATTAGAGATCATGTTATATCAGGGACAGTTTTATATTAGAGAGCATGTTATATCAGAGTCAGTTTTATATTAGAGATCATGTTATATCAGGGACAGTTTTATATGAGGGGTCATAGTATATCAGGAACAATTTCATATTGGAGATAAAATTACATTAGTGACCATGTGACATCAGAGACAGTGTTATATAAGGGATTGTGTGATATACAGGACAGTGTTATATCAGGGATTGTGTTGTATACAGGACAGTTCTATATCAAGGAATATGTTATATACAGAACAGTGTTATATCAGCGATTGTGTTATATATGAGAATATTATTCTGAGCAAGAGACCACTTTACTGCAATCATACACTTTAATGTACTGATATGACCATCTCCATACCATCACAAATTAAAAAAAAAAAAACACGATCTGGCCATTGTCTGCAAGCTCTTGGTAAAGTGGTATTCTAAACATCAAACTGAATTATATATTCTGAACGAAAATTAAAGGCAGTGAAACCAAAACTTTGAGTTACACGATTTTGAGTTATGTGACCATTCATGGGAACACAACTAACAAGCAGCTGTACTGTGGCATTACATGTCTTTGTACATATA